TATTGAGGGTTTTGAATCTTAATGATGCAACATGAGAAATTTAAAAAATAACATCTCTTAGAAATAAAGGTACCCGACTCCCACCCTTATTCTTTCTCGGTCTACAAACTGCATGGAGTTAACTGATGAGAAAGTAACAGCCACATGTTCAGTATTTCTAAAATAATGAAATTCATCTAGTCAAATTCTCATTCTTTGCCTGCCTGCCTGTCTTCCTTCTTTTTATCCTTCTTTCCTTCCGTCCTTTTTCATGAGCTTCTGTTATCTCTTCAAAATTACCTGCCATTTTCCTTCTTCCCTTGTGGATGGATAAACAATGAGAAAGAGAATTTTTCTTTTTGGATGAGGGGAGGACTATGCAATCACTGTAATCATCTTCCTAAAAGTGGTTTCACCATTAACTTCTCTTCTCCCTGTAGAAGTAGAAACGTATTTTACAAAACTATGTTTAGTTTAATTTACACATCCTTTCATGAACAGACCAAGTTCTTTAAGGGCATTTATTCTGCTTCATATAAATAATTGATCAGCCAAGTTAATTTACTTCTGCCTGACTTGGTCAACCTTAATTAACTGCCCTGGAATCAAGACTGAACTTTTTGTTAGCTTAAAATCTTTCACAAGCATGATAACAAGGGCTTTATTTTCCCTAAATTTTCAGCATCAACACTGTAACCAAGGAAATAATCATAATAATAAAGCACTGCTTTAATTTACTATAAATACATTGGCCTGGACATTATGAATTTTCCAGAATACTTCCAAAGAGCAGCCCTGTTGGCAACGGCAGCAAGTAAGCATGCTGAACTCAGTTCTTATCCTTTTCTGCAAGTCCCTCCAGCACAAAAATCGATCTTTTGAAATCAGTAGTGCTGTAATGTTTCCAAGCAAGATGAGAAATGGGTCGTTTTGGCTTCTTTAAGCTTTTCAACATCTATGCAATTGTGGCCTCAGCCTTTGTAGGGTTGTGCTGAATGGATCATGTGATTTAACCAGGCCAAGCTCATTTGGAGAGGCTGTATAGGAAGGCAGAGGCAGGTTTGGCTTGTTTCTGGAGAAAGGGCTTGCTGGGGGGTATGGTGTGGCTGTGCCCTGCAAGTGCCATACTTTCATACTCAGGCACTTTGGATAAGTATACAGTGTTTCTTGTCCGTTTGTCATGGAGCAAGGCAATTCATTGGTTATAGGGAGTCCCAGAGGGAAGTGAAAGTTATGCAAACTGGGACAGGCTTCCTCCAAGAAAACAGGGAACAGTGTTTCGTGATAGAGAAGACAGATGCCTCTCCTATACATTGCTTTGCTCTTAGATCACTCTCATAGTGTAAAACTCAATAGAAAAAGAGTTGTTTGCTCAAGAGTGCTGACACTTCATTGTTGTATTTTAATGTCTTTGTCCACCTGCCACCCTCATTGTTGTCTTTTCTGGAACTTACTTAGTTTTCTTTTCACTGATTTATTCATTCACCGCCTAGCACAGGAGTTTACAAACTGGAAATTCTCAATCATTTATTGAATGGACAAGTTCATGTTGAAAGTGGGGAATAGTTATGGCTACATCTATCCCTTAATTCTGTGGTCCCCAGCCCCTGGGCCAAGGACCGATACTGGTCCGTGGCCTATTAGAAACTGGGCCACACAGCAGGAGGTGAGCAGAGGGTGAGGGAGCAAAGCTTCATCTGTATTTACAGCCACTCCCCATCTCTCACATCACTGCCTAAGCCCTGCCTCCTGTCAGATCAGTGGCGCCATTAAATTCACATAGGAGCGAGAACCCTACTGTAAACTGCACATGTGAAGTATCTAGGTTGTGCTCTCCTTATGAGAATCTCATGCCTGATGATCTGAGGTGGAGCTGAGGCGGTGATGCTAGCGCTGGGGAGCAGCTGCAAATACAGATTATCATTAGCAGAGAGATTTGACTGCACAATAAATGTAATGTACTTGAATAATCCCAAAACCATTCTTCCTACCCCCCAGTCCATAAAAAAATTATCTTCCATGGAACCAGTCCCTGGTGCCAGATTGGGGACCACTGCTTTAATCAATTGAGCTTCAGTTTTCTTATCTATAAAATGGGGATAACATTTACCTGCCTTATTTCCCTCATGTTATGAGTTTGAAAAGTACATCAAAGGGCTTTGCAGTTTATGAAGCGTGGGACAGATATAAAGGCTTATTAAATGGCTTGGAACGTTCGATAGAAAATATTGCTGGCCCAGGCACTGTTAGAAATGTTCTTAGACATTGACACTCCTATTTTTTCACATGTGCTTTTCAAAAAGCTGTTTTCTCCTGATTGGTGTGGGAGATTATGGGAAATTTTAAATCTTCCAACCTACATACTACTGTTAGCACTTGACTAATTAAGGACATCCTCAGACCAAAATAATCCTTTATGCAATTTTGGTCTCAAAGCCTGCACTCTCACAAACCTGATTCACAAGCCAAGCTGCTTGGCCTGATGCCTGCAAAACTTGTACTGGAGGACTTGGCAGTCTTCTTTGGAACGGCATGGAGCAAAAACGGGGCCTTCTCATCAAATTGTGTGTTGGAGATTGTTCTTACTCCACCCACCAGGATGGTGTCAAACCAAGGAAACAAAAGCAGGACCAGTCTCTTAGACACCTGTTCTCAGGTCTGGGGGCCCAGTGGTCACACAGTCTGAAAGCAGCATTGCATCAGGACAGGATGTTTGGCTAAATATGCCCCATTCTGAGGGCTGCCTGAGAGTTTATATACATGCAATGCTTTTGCCTGTGGGGGTAGGAGGGTCCTGTCCCCGGTATGGGTAGGCATTCCTGGAAGGTTAAAAAATCATTTTTTTCTTTAGGTATAACTTGTGATATATCCTAATAATTAAATGGGCTTCCTTACTGCCTACTCTTAAGATACCATCCTATCCCTTAAATACCGGAACACTGTGCCTTTTCCTTACCTCTGTACAAATGGGCAAGATTGTGGAAGAGACACTGAAACACTGGGGTAAAAAATACCTAGTTTTACAAATTGTTTTCTCTTTTGGTGATGAATAAAGGTACATGTTGCCACGAAGTATCTCATTGCCTGATTCTTATATCTTAGGGAAGGTTTTAGTTGCTTTTTGATAGCTCCTTCTCTCTGTGGACAGGGAGGACATGAATGCAGCTTTTAAAGGACTATAATTACTGGAAAGTCTGATCTGAAGGGACTAGCATGAAAAAAAAGAATAAAAAAATAAAGAAATGGAGTGAATCAGCTGTTGCTTCTGAGTTTGTTTCCCACCTGTTAACAAAAAATGCCATTCTTAATCCACCTCAGAATTGGATTAACTTAAAAAAATATATATCTTCTGGGTTTGTGAAGTCTATAGTCAAGTTCGACCATACTGTGCACTGAAAGGAAATGAAGAAAGATGTGAATTTTTCTGCTTTTAATTCTTCCATTTGGTTTTTGTGCAAGTCTGCAGAAAACAGACTTCAGTCAATTTCTAGCAAAGAGAACAGTGTCCTCTAAAGATGTCCAAAGTGTTTTAAGTTTCCCCGTTGTCACATATTTCACGTATGGGGAAGAAATCTGCAGCCCTGGTTGTACATAAGCCATTCCATGATTGGAACAAATTTGTGTAAAAGTTTTCTGCCCTTTAATCTGGGATTGGTATTTCACATTAAAGTCTTAATTATTCGAGCATTTCTCAGCTTTGATGTTTGAACCGTCAACTTCCTTTAATAACCCTTGTTTTTCTCTTGACTTTAAAAAAACACATTGTGGTTAAGAGCTTTGATTTAACAACTGGTTCAAATCCTGATTCCACCATGACTAGCTCTGATATATAGCGGACAAATCAGAATACTCTCGTGGAGCCTTAGTTTTCTCATCTTCAAACTGGGGATAGCAGTTTGCACCCACTAAATTGGAGAACATATGTAAACCATCTGCAATAGGGCCTACCTGGCACAACACTGGTGATCAATAAATGGTAATAATACATGTCTTTTGTCAGCTTTGGGCATCTTTTCCAAGTCTAGAGCTGAACTGGCTCTCTGGGATAATGGTTTTGTGCCCAGAGAGTAACAAGGATGAATGTGAAATGTATTTACACCTAGGAGATACGTTCTAGCTACTCATTTTGTACTACATACATTTTTTTCTATTAGACATTTAGTACTTTCAAATTCAGACCTTTTGTTAGGTCTACCTGGGCAAGATTTTTCTCCAAAATTAAATATAAGACCCCAGACCTTTCAAGTCTTAAACCAAACTAGATATCAGTAATACAGCAAGAGAAACATCTAAATTTGAATGAGATTTCCCAGGTCAGTTTTAACCATAAAACAAAGATCAGAGTTTAAATTTATTTAGCTTTTATAAAGTGGAAACTTCTCTTTCCTCTATCGCCCTCTCTCTCTCTCTGAAAGTGGCCTATCTTATTGCAATGGCCAATTTTGAAGTGTTTCAGTGCTCGAATGATTCCAAGGAGAATGAATCTTTAAAATGCTTTTTGGTGTTTGACTGTTAGGTTTTTCCAGCACGAATGACCTCAGGGGGCCTCCTGGTAATGCCTGTCTTCTCTTGACAGACGGAAGTTGGAGACTGTTTCTCTGAGAGCGTAACATCACCACCCAGCACGCCTGCACATACTAAAGTTTAATGATATACCTAATATGCTCTATAGGATAACTTACTGGTTTTCAAGCAAAACATCCAGGTTTAATGAGAGAAATTTAATCCTGAATTCTAAGTTTATCTAAAAATATTTATTTTTTTTTAAGAAGAAAAAGAATATATTTAAAGCAGTACTGCTAAAACTTGAATCGGGAACAATAGCTTCATACTCATAAAACTAGGGGAGTGGCCCACTAATGAGGGATACATTGAGTGAAAGAAAATGACAACTGTTTACAGATTTTGGCAACATTTAAAGTGTGGGGCCCTTCTCCTTATGCACAACAACTGTTTTAACAGCTGCTTTTTTTCTTCTTCTTCTTCTTTTTTTCCCCCTCTCCTGGAAATCCTTATATCAGGTTTTTGAGTCATGATGCAAGAATCTGGGACTGAGACAAAAAGTAACGGTTCAGCCATCCAGAATGGGTCGAGCGGCAGCAACCACTTACTAGAGTGCGGCAGTCTTCGGGAGGGGCGGTCCAACGGAGAGACCCCGGCGGTGGACATCGGAGCGGCCGACCTCGCCCACGTCCAGCAGCAGCAGCAACAGGTACTGGGCTTCAGAGTCGAGGGAGGTGGAAGGCGCTGGTGCGGATTTCACCGCGCCATTTTACACTCCATCGCTACCGATGTTTTGTGCTCACCTGTCTCTCTGTCTGCCTGACTGTAAGCAGCATCTAAAAGGCCACCAGACCTCTAGGGTTCCTACTGGTTGGCTTCAGAGACTAATTTTCGAGTCCTTGGGCCTTGGAAGTCTTGGAAGTCCCCTTGTGGGGAGCAGTTGCTGAGACGCAGATTGAGGGGACCTCTGGCTACTCCCTTGCAGCCCCCAACGTGTCTGCCTAACCTTTAACTCTTTTGAATAAAATTACTCTTTGGAGAAATGATTCCCGGTGCTTCAATTAGAAAAACAGAACAAAACAAAAATGGCCGGGCTTAATCCTTATGAAGAAGGAAACAAAATAAGAGATAAGGGACGAAAGAGAGAAATAAGAGATATAAGGGGGGAAAGGTTAGGCGGATAAGGAAAGTAGAAACAAAGACGGCAGGAAACATCCATAACACAGGCATCAGTGTAGGAAATTGCTTCCCGCTACCTGTAGGAATTTAGGGATATAGAGTATGTATGAAGGTTTCTTGTATTTATGTGGCAGTTGGTGTGTGGCTAAATCTTACTGATGTTTTAAATTATCTCTTATGGGTGCCTCCCCAAAATGCGTATCAGTGCAGACATACTCACTCGTGTTAAACACTCTTTATAGTTATGGAAGTGAGTTACCTGTAAGTGACTGGTAAAATATTTCCAAATGGCACAAGTGACCCAAGAAATGGTGTTTTCTTGGCAAAACATTGACAGAAATTCAAATAAGTAAATGGCATTTGCTTGAAGACTGGCTTTGGGTTCCCAGCCTCTTTTGGAATTAGGAAATAATACTAGTTTTTGTTAGTGATAATGGATGGTTTGTGTTCCATTTTTGTCCTTGATTTATTTATTGCATACATATAGTTATAGTGTCATTTGGAAATAGGTGGGAGGAAAATGGTGTATCTTTGGGGCTTTCTGGAAGACACAGGAACTGCTGGTGGGGTGGGGGAAGAGGAGGGCAAAACCTTTTCTCAGACCATTTTCTTGGAATCTGTATCAGAGAAGCTAAGGAAATACCTTCTTATGTTAGGGATACAGCTTTTAGACAGGCTCTAAAGCATGTTTTATTTTTTCTTTGCTAAGAATAAAAATATAAGGAATCATTAGATTGTTAGCCCACTACAAGTTGGTGGAACCAATATGATACCATGGAGCCTGTTGAGGGTAAGATACAACAGAGAGAAAGAAAGGGAAACTAACAGACAAGCCAAAGTTTTAATCCAGGGGACTTGCTGTGAGTGATTTGATCTCTCTGTCACTGGCAGCCCAAACCCATTTGTGCCTGAAGCTTGGGCTCCCTTTAGCTGGAATGTGCTGTTTGTTGTGTATAAACTTTGTGCATTTAAGTTAATGCAGATGGCCACATTCTAACCAATGAGGTTGTTAGCAAAAACCCTCAGTAAAGGGTATCCATGTATGTGGGCTGCATATGTTCATGCAGTGTTCTCAACTATTTATGATTATATTAAGAATAAACAGTTAATATTTTTGAGCGCCATCTATGCCCTTATCAGACTGAGGTCAAAATCGGCTATTTCTCTAGGGAGCAGTTGAGATGGGGCTATTGACTGATGTGGTGTGAATCCAAAATGATTAGTATTTAGAGTACATTAATTAAATAAATGGGAAATTAACTCATTCTGAATTTTATTCGAGGAACTGAAAATTATGCAGGATCTCAAAGTAGATCCAGCCAAAAAATAAAACGCACGCACACACACACACACACACACACACACACACAATAACAGCAATAACAAATTGGCTGCATAGAAGAAAGTTATAAAAGTGCATTTCAACATCATCTTCCTTAAAAAGTATCAGTAGCAAAATTAGTTATCTGTGCCTTCCCTCTTTACCTTGGCTATGACCACTTTGGAAAATTGTTGTTACGAGTTTTTGACATAAAGATCAAGAAACTGACTGTGATTATATTTTGAAACTCTTTTTAAAATATTTTGTAACAGTTTTATTTCTATTTGCTGTTGATATGTTTTGGGGAGAAAGAAAGCAGTCGGGTCTATCATTGTGGCTAAAACCCCACTTACTGTGGTTGGCAGGCCTTTTAAAAATAAAACATTGACAGCTGTTTGACTCCCCTAAGTATATGATAAGGCTCTTAACAGGTTGTTGGGGTAAAAGGAAATCTGTAGATGAAATAAGAAAAAGTACAGGATTGAAAACGTTTCACAGGACTATAGTTATCAGAGTTTTCTTCCAAATTGAAAACTGCAACAATTAAACAGTTTGGAGAAATGTGAGCATTCTGTGATGGACTTTGGTTGTTTTCGTCATTTTTATTCTACAGGTTTGTACTTGAAGTGAGAATACCAGCAGTGAGAAAATCACAGCCATGCTGAATTCATTACTGCGGTAGTCACACAAAACCACGGATAAAATTTCAATAACTGCAGGCCACAGTTGAGTAAACAGTTGCACTGAAATTTAATTCCTGTTGACTTTTCCCCCATTCCTCGCCAGGGGCACATTCTGATTCTGTAGTACAAAGACAACAGGGGTTACAGCTTTGATTAATGTAGGACAGTGGAAGAGAATTAGAACTGTAAAATATGTTAGAAGTCCATGGAACACAAAGATCTGGCTCAAAAGGGCTTGGTACAAAAATGGGTTAATTATGCTGTGTGTTAAACTGAATGTTGTAGGATTTTCCAGTTGCCCCAGTACCATCATTGATAAAGGGAGGGTTTGTACCTAGTGCCAGGATTTAAAATAAATAAATGCAAACCTTTCCATGTTTGTTCCATATTACCAAAGATAATTACAAATTATAGCAAATGCACTTTTCAGAATGGAGAGCCCTGACAAAGATTTACTGTGCAGTGAGCGAGTTCCATACTGGATTTGGTTTATAGGTTGGCTGAATTGGATCTAAACAGAATTGTTAAAAAAAAAAAAAAAAAAACTAGTTGACAAACTAGAGAAACAGGGGAAATCTGGCTTTTCCATCTTCTCTTGAAAAATAGGACTATCCAGTAACCTTGGGTTGATAGCCCGACAAGGGCAACAATTGTTGGGAGATGAATTGCTGCTTAAGACAGGGCACCAGCAGCCCCCTAGTTTGCTCTAGTTCCCACTCGGCAGTGTTGCTCATTTCTGCCTGCTAGGTAGTGGGGTTGGTGATTCTGGTCTGGAAGAGGAATCATCACTCAGAATCCATCAGCCAAAGAGAGGTGCTGCCATTAGCTGGTGGAGCCCACCAACACGCTCACAAACCGTCTTCCTTCCTCAAAACTAAATCTATTATCTCCATAATGTTTCAACTCTATTTATAGCTGGGCCATGGAACTATTATAACAATAGTTTTTTAATAATGTAATTTGATAAAGTTTCCGAACATTTTCTTTTATCCATCAAGTAATTCTTTACCCGATACCATAACTGCTTTTTATTTCCTATTATGCCTGCCCCATTTCGATGTCCGTAAAAGTTCTGTATTGGATATGCACTACTCCATTATGAAACTGAGCAACAAATACTATTACCCATTACTAAAGTTATTTTTTTTTCCTTAAAGAAAGGATTTTAAAATGTCCAGAGCAATTTCATAAACTGTGTGGATTAATGCATTTTAAAAGTCTTGAATTTTAGAAAGCAGAATTTTATTTCCATATTGCTGCAAATGAGAGCTTTTTCAGATAAGCATATTACATAGAGCATAATGTTTAGAAGTTTCTCCATATACAGCATATGCTGTCAGGTCAATTAACAGAATGCATACTAGAAAATGTTTATTCAATAAAAATGAATAGCTGTTAAATAAAACAGCTATTTCTTAACAACATTGCATTTAATGATGGGGTTTTTTTCTTTTTTTTTGGTACCACCTGGCAGTTTTATTGTCTGCAAGTCAGTATAGGGAGAGCTTTGGTTGCTGTGGTTTTGAGGTGTGGCTATCGTTTTATATGAGGAGGGCAGTGTAGAGGAAGTCTGTAAGAAAGACACTGAAAAAAAGATAAGCTATATTTGGAATCCGAACATGTATTTTTTTTTTAGAGAGTATGGATAAGTGTTTATTTCACATAGCTTCTTTGACATTCTTCTTAAGGTGTCGGAGCCTACGGTCCAAAAGCAGTGTGTATGTTTCAAGTTAACAATGTAAAAGACAGAAAGTGAAATGACTAGTGAGGAGGTGAGAGAGGTAGAAAGGATAGGGAACTTCTCTTGAAAAATTGTCAAAGGGGATAAAGAGGAACCATTGGGTTGAATTTTTCCAATGAGCCATTGAAGGAGGTCAAAAACTAGTCATTCCACAGAACTGGAGAAGCTCAGAGAAATGGGCTGTGCATGGTAAGAGTCAGAAAAAGAAACTAGTTATATATATTCAAAGGGGATATAGAAAATACAGTCTCCGAGGAACCTGGGAGAATCATGAATAGATATCCTGGGGTCCTCTGAACATGGGAAATGGAGTTATCAGGACCAAAGTGTCAGTGTTTTCTGGGGAAGGTGGAGGTTCTTTTCTGTTTCAACGTAAATACACACATTCTTTTCACATTCAAAATGGCAGAATGTATCCCTGCATCAGTTTTCGTTAGTGACATTCCTGGTGGGTATTGAGTAGAAGAGGGAGGCCGTCCTGCAAACATTTCCAGCTTTCTAACTGTCTCTGTGAGAAAGTGCCTGCAAGAAATAGCTGTCCGTGTTTGGACTAGCAGTAAGCTCGTTTGTCTGGAAGGAGCCATCCTTTTACATCCCAGCTTTATCCATATTCCTTTGGGGCACACATTACAATTCCAGTGGCCATCCTTGGCCTCGTTTTTCACCTTACTGTGAGTGGCCTGGCTTACGTGGTGTGGGTCTACAGGCACAAAGGCTGGGTAGCAATAGCCAGGTTAGCTGTACCACTTTTTTCTTTGAAAAACGTTGCTTATGAACTTTGTCAGGAGTGCCTTCAAGTGGCCTGTCCCATTGTAGCTGCCAGGGACTAACTGTGTGAAAGGAGGGTCTCTTTTGATGCCAATGGCAGGGAAAAACCAGTCAGCACCTCTGTGTCTTAGAAGGGAGGCTTGCAGGAAGAGGGTGTAGAAGGTATTATTAATGTTTATTGAGTGCCTTCATGGGGCCAGGTATTATGGTAGGGGCTGGCACCTTCCTTTGCTGGTAGGTAAAAACTCAGCTGTAATTGTAAAGGAATTGTTCTGCCAAGATAGACTTTTATTGAAGACATCCTAAAGTTCAA